GTAATATTGCAGAACCGCGAAATAAGCTAAAACAACCAGGACTGCACAATACACAACCAATCACGTGTTCTGTTGCTTTCTGTAACCAATGACTGATTGCATATTCAAACTGTTGATACCACACCATTGGACCTGCAAGGCATTATCATATTAACCTGAAAGCAACTATTTTTGGCGAAAAAAAAATTAGTTTCATTTTAAAATAAGTTCACTTTGTCGTAAAATGTTATTTATATCATATTTTATACAACAATTCATTATTAGTCAACGACATATATACCTGTTAGATCAATACAATGTATATCTGATCAGATTTATATACATGTTAGATCAATACAATGTATATCTGATCAGATTTATATACATGTTAGATCAATACAATGTATACCTGAACCGATTTATATACATGTTAGATCAATACAATGTATATCTGATCAGATTTATATACATGTTAGATCAATACAATGTATACCTGAACCGATTTATATACATGTTAGATCAATACAATGTATATCTGATCAGATTTATATACATGTTAGATCAATACAATGTATATCTGATCAGATTTATATACATGTTAGATCTTTACAATGTATACCTGTTCCGATTTATATACATGTTAGACCTATACAATGTATACCTGAACCGATTGGATGAATCCTCCCACATGCAGCACCAACTATTTTTGACTTGTTCATTCGTCTCATTAAACTTAGCACTGCTTCTGGCTCAAAATCAACGTCTCCATCAAGGGCTAAGAGAAACGTATTTTCTGCTGCATCTTGAAGCCCAGATCTGCCGAACTTGTTTTGTAACTTCCATTTCAATACGTAAAGCATGTACATCACCTTTATTGATGAAAACAGAAAAAAACGTTATAGAAGATACACATCTACTTTTACAAATAAATGAGAGATATGGGTTGGTAGTTATCTGTAGCACTTACAACATAAACAGGAGAACTTATTCCGTAGGTAACGTTCTTGTTGTTTCTACATAATCTATTAATTAAACAAAGCATATGGAGTAAAATATTAGAAGTAAAACAAAAATACCGAACTTAAATGTAAATTCAAAAAGGGGATGTCCATAAAATCTGACAAAATCAAACGTTATCAATCAACGGAACAAGTGAAAAACAACTGTCATATTCCCGACTTGGTACAGTCATTTCCCGAAGAAAATAGTCGGTAAACCTGGTTTTATAGCTAGCTAAACCTCCCACTTGTATGACAGTTGTTTATAGTTCCGTCATTCAAATGAATGACAAATTATCTCCAACAAATGAGGTTTTTCAAGGCGTCCAACATATATCTTGCATCTCTTTTTATTCATTCTTAAAAGTATGTTTGACATTAAAAACATTTCAAGATGACTCCTGTGTAATAATGACTGAACATAAACTTTAGAAATATATTACAACATTTACATTTATAGACTCAATTTTAATATTTGAAATAATAAGATTCCTGGTGGTTCATAATTTAGTGCCAAGTGTAATTAATATCTGTCCTATTGGATATAATGAATTCAAAGTAGACAAATATAACAATTGACAGTGCATGTTTATGCAGTACCGAATATGGTGATTAAAGATATATATGAGCTGACATAGTGATAACAACAAAACACTTATAGTTTGTTTTAATTCAGATCAGACCACAATGATCTGTTAAATTCAATAACTATTTACTAGCGATCTACTCTTTATTATCAACGATAAACGTGAAGATGTTGTTTTGCAGAACCTTTTTATGTAGAATATGCTTAAGTTCTTTAGGAAATCCACTAAACTAATCTGTTTAATTACCTGACTCCATCGTTTTTTGTGTCGTATTTTATTCTTATCTTTCAGATGAGCGACCAAATCATTTCCTCCAGGTAGTGTCCAGGTAATCCTTGCGCCATACGGAGTTCTCATCATCTCGCCATCACGAAGTGCTATTCTTTTCTTGTGAACAACGCTAAGAACAAATGGGAAAAAATTAAACAAAGAAGTTGAAACGATAAGATTCCTGTATACATTTTATCGACTTTTCAATGAAAAAGAAAACTTATATGCAGAATTATTTTAGTCCGCGTCATATAAAATGTAGAGCCCTTAGAACGGTGCCGTGAAACTGGCTAGTAAATATTAGCTCAATATATCAAGCACTTTCGTGTCGTCAATGGTTGAATTCTCTCTGTACGCGTACAGCAAGGAGTTTTCATCAAAAGATAAATTACATTTGAACACTTACCATGCTGAATTGTTTTCAGAAAATGTCTTATCCTCGTTTATTTTGCAAAAATATGCAAATTACATACGAATGAGCTTTACCCTGCTGCTGATGCATATTGATTCCTTTAAATCTAAGATAGGGGATCACGGGATGGGGTGGTCGGGATGAGAAGGTGGGGTGCGTGGGCGGGAATTTGCCCCAAAGTTGGTTATCAGGTGCAAAAAGCGTTAATTTTGACGATTTTTCGTCCTATTTCTTGACCAGGAAGACCGAAGGATGCCAATAGATGTATCTCATGGTAGTCTGAATGTAGAATGGACCCAAGTGAACACATTAATCACAACAAAGCTTAGGTCTAATTTAAACTGATCTTGGTACAGCAGTCTAAAGAAGGTCATTTGTGCCAAAAATCCGGAATTTCTCGATTCTTCCCGATTTTGGCTTAACTGGACCTGCAACCGGAAGTAGTCGTTTACTAAGTGGATTTCAATAATAAACACGATGAGTAGTTATATTCTTGTGGGTTTACACTATTAAAGTTTCATGCCTCTGAACTGCGTGTGTCTGACACCAAAGGGAAGCCCACCCCTCCAGAAAAACCAGTTTTATTCGATTTCAATTTTCCAAATTCGTATTTGAGCTGAAAATGCACCTTAAACATAAGAAACATGACAATAAATAGCCTCAGGTTGAGGGAACATGCATCAACTTCGAGTTAATGTCATAAAGTTGACATCTAAAAGTATGGAGAGCCATTGGAGCCAAATAATGGTAGTTGGGGTAATCACGTCATATGACGGTCACCGCATGGTAAGGGTTTTAAGGACATGTCAAAACCAAAGACTGAACAACAAAAATTAAGGGTGATCTCAGTTGATCCGGAGGGTAAGCAGATTTGATTCAATAGTTGCATCCATCGTGTTTCTCATGGTAAGTACAAATTCAGAGATAACTTATCCAGGTGATAGATATACATTTCTTGTATATGTTACCTTCCAGCTTCGTCAATAACCCGGATGAACGTTTTTACATATTCATTGACATCTGCACATTTTTCTCCTTTTTTGATTGGATCAAAAGCATCATCAAAGAAGATATGCCCTACAATGAGAGACCAATCAGTTAGAAATCTATATTGATTACTAGTGCATTATCAATTAACTGAAAACAATTACTAGTAATTAGAATTGTTGTAAAGTGAAAGAAGATTGAACATGAGTAGTTCTAAATCTTTCTTAGAGTTCATAAGTTTTCGATCTATGAGTTTGCCTGTCCCTCTGGTATCTTTCGTCCCTCTTTTGAACAATAATGAAATTTACAAGATATGTTTGTTTCCTTGACATTTACTTTTAAGCAGTTGAATACTTCACAAAATATTAAAAATAGTATTACTCTTAGTACTTTATATAATTATACATCCCGCCATTGTGTTATTGTGCTATGGTAATTTTTTGAATTCTTGTCTTTTTATTTATTTTTATGTGCTTTTCCTTCGAGTTCAGTATTTTTGTTATTTTACTTTTTTATGTACTGTATTTTTGAGCAATGTGCTTTGAGTCCCTATTGTAATAACTATTGCATATACGTGTGTCTATGATATGTCGTTCTGGTATAATGAAAACACCATGTCGAATTTAAAAAAAGACTTATGTAACAAAGATGCACAGATAGTAAAGGATATTATGCCTCGTTTACACGCGCATTTAATCGAATTAAATTCGAATCGAATGCGAATCGAATTCGCTAATCGCGTTCACACACTCTACTTTTTTTTTAATTCGAATCGAATTCGAATTGGCTACTTCGCATTAATCAATTCGCATAAGAAATGCGTTTTCGTTCATTCGAATTAGTAAATTCGCTTCAATTCGAATTAAACTGTGGTGTGGACACTTTCTAAATTGTAATTTGAAAGGACAAATTAACAGAAAATTATCATTATTTCTTGATTTTTTAAATTAAAAACGTAACACTAATAATTCGTATCATAGGCGAAAACCATAATGACGTCATATTCAAATATAGGATGGTTTTTAAATTCTGTATTGCAAAAAAAGAAAAATTGAAAGAATCGCACACTTAAAGATATTACAGCCTTTTGAGATCCTGCCTTTTTATTTCAAATTTGATCATATCACCCTCCATAAAAATCAAATGGTCGTTCCCTAAAGAAGAAGCTTTTTACGAAGTGATAAATCTGGGCAAAATTTCAAAGACAAATCAAAAGATTTGATTCCGATAAATGCCATATCAGATCAAGAGAGCAAGTTTGGAGATGTTATTGGCTCTAAAATGGTTGTTTTGTTTTGAATTATAATTAATTAATTGATAATGCGAATTAGAAATTAACGTCGTTCGGACAGTAAAGCGAATTTGACGCGCATTGCAATTCGTATTAAAATTAACGTTCTGACGTAAAACGTTTCGAATGCGAATTAAACTTATTCGAATTAGTTAATGCGTATCAAATTCGAATTACGTGTGAACGCAGCATTATAATAAACACATTGTCGCAACAGTCCCTTCAAAGTTCATGGATATCTATTTTATCTTTTTAAATATAAGGGCTTATCATATTTATGTGAAACAGTATTTCAGAAACTTATAAGAATGATGCTAAATCTCCTTTAAAAAACATTTACACTCTTTCCAAGACATTAAGATGTTCAAAGCAAATGCACCATGTGCTAAAAGATTATTTTTAACCGCCTATGAATAAAGGTTATGGGAAGATTTGTCGCCACTGCATTTGAAAAAGAATGGAAACGAAATGTACTAATTCTTAAAAAATAGGGGGACTATTTGTTTGTACCATTTCCACTTTTACCTTCAAATTCAAAAGTTTCTACTTCCTCAGCATCTTGCTTCTCGTCAGCTATCATGTCGTTTATAAACTGTCTCTGGTCTAATCTGAAAGGTATTCGCCAGGTAACCATTACTTCATTGTATAAATGATGTCCCGTTATTCTTTATAACCCTAACTTAAGAATTTCATTTAACTAAATTCATGAAAACACATGTGACCTAGATTATTCAATGAACCTGTATAGGTCACCTTGTAACTATGTACAATATCGACAAGATTAACCCCCTCTCCCCAAACCGGATCAGAAGTGATAGAATCAAGACAAACAGAATTTTTCACAAAGATAAGATAATAGATATAGCTGTATATTGGTCTAACTAAAAGAAATATTTTATGACAATTTTTACACGTTTTTGTTTGGTTTGCTTTTTGTACTGTTTTGTTTTTTAGGGGGGCGTGGCTTCTGACCTGAATAAAGACTTCAACAACTGTGTCATTTCGTTGGCTGTCTCATGCCACATTGTAGCACAACATGCATATAACATTTTCTTCTTCTTCTTGTTTTTCACTGTTTCATCGTCTTCTTTCTTTATTATAAAATATAACTCATGTTTAAAAGCATACATTCTGTTATTTATTTCAGTTTACTGAGTCCCTACATATATTCTTTGTCAAATCTTTTTATTATAAGATTAAGAGATAAAAGATATAAAACAACTTTATGTAAATAAAATCGCTTCATTTTGTCAATTTGAATTAGATAAGTGCATTTAAATTATTTCATTGTCATAGCATATCGTATTTTCCGTATCTTCACTTTTATTTTTCTCGTATACCTGTTTCTGTCTAGACACTCGTTGTTGTTTTTAATTTATCACGTTCTGGTAAATACATTTCCAAATGTACTTCTTTGATACCGACTGAGTTATCTTCTTATCTTTTTGTCGAGTTGTTTTAAAAAGTTTTAATATTGATACTTGGTTAAGTTCAAGTAATGCGATTAAAAATATCTAGATTTTGTTTCCATAGCGGTCTGTAATTTTTTATATTAACCGGCATCTCTGCAGTTCTATGTACAAAAACAGCGTAAGCGACATTTAATAACGAATTCTGTGCAGTGATAAGCGAGGTGTGACCGTTTGAACCGTGCCGATGGCCACACTATGACATTTAGATGTAAAACAGCAATGAAAACATCGTGCCTTGCGTTGTGTTTTGTCTAGTGCATGTAAGAATATGTGTCATGATTTAATCCCTATATGCCGGTTTTTCCAATACCGAATATTATGATGCAAGGTTTTAAAAGATTGTTCTAACATCCTTTATATTGACTGGAAATATTCATTTGTTTTATTGACAATTGATTAAATCTTTTAAGGGTTATCTTCAACATATCGCTATGTTTCAGATGTAGTAATGTAATGATAATTGTTTAGCAATTACCTTGCCAAGAACAATGTCATATTCTTTGTCGCTTCTTCGACGGTTCAATAGCAACGAAAGGTCTATAAACATCCCACAATAGAATGGCATCACAAATATCCTGTTCAAATATTTAAATACCAATCTTATCAATTAAAATGATATTTATATATATCTAAATATTCAGAGAGACTCATTTATGTTTTGTATACTGTTGTTTGTTTTTTTGTCGTTTTTCGTGTTTTTTTTTTTTTGCTATGGCGTTGTCAGTTTATTTTCGACATATGAGTTTGAATGTCCATTTCGTATCTGTCACCTATCTTTTATAGATCAAAGTAACTGTTAATTTAGTATTATAGCTGAATTGCCATTGACTTTTTTCCGCGCATGCAACAGTTCGTAATTTTCAATCATATGAATCTGATACTGTATATCTGAAGAAGAAGATTTACTGACAGTGCATTTAGAAAATATAACTTATCATTGCAGTAACGTATTTTAGGTTGGTTAAGTTTTAACTGTATTATGTCCTCTTCTTAGACAGAAATTCAGATAATGTAAATCTGATATCGAATGCTGTGTTTTACTTGTAGACTATACACGTTTTAATGCATGGAGACTACGTAAACAATTTAGCCGTGATTTATATGAAGCTATATACTACTAGTTTAAATGATGCATTGATAATCATAATTTATCAAAACCTATTAAATTTTATATTAAATTTATTAAGTTTCAAACTGAAAAAAAGTCATGGTTTGCTAGGGATGAATCGGATGTCTATACGATTAAAGTATTTTGAAACTGTATTTAATTCATCCATTTTCTCTTTCTTTCAAAACCTTATAAGTTCGGTAGGTGATTTCTACTTGTATGATGTGTGTATGCAAGTCCATCTGCATTGAAAATTATGTCAACTTTAGTTGAGCAGCTAGGTTTTGTTTAAATTGTCATTTATTCCACCCAGGTTTTGCATTTACAACTCTTTTTTTTCTGCATTTATTTCGCAATATTTTTATTACAGTTTGCTTTTAGAATGATTGTCAACAAGGCTATGTCATTAAACCCTTTGCAAGTGCATATATCAAAACACAACATATTTCTCATTTCAAACGAAAGTAACTGTATATACATCATGGAACTGATTAAACTATGTTGATAATTTACCTAGACGTCTCTCCGTGCTTGTATCCATTTACTTTCCAAATATGTCTTGTTATGAAAATTATGGAGACAGAAAATAATATGAACGCAATCAAGAGTTCTAAGCAATTTTCTGGTAGCCTATCAATTCCTCTTACACACCAGTTAGAGAAAAACAAGTCACATGACTCAAGTTTTAGGAAATTCGGGTCGTACATAAATCCAACTAAGGACATGGTTGTAACAATTGGCAGCATAGAAAATATAGGGCTGAAGGCGAACCTTTGACAGTTAATAACGCACACGATTTTTGAAGCTTTGTAACATAAATAGTCACATACAATCGTAACCAAAGCTACCAAAAATGGCACATGACTTTGGCAAATTGAATTTCGTCCAAGTTCTTGATTACCAACTAAAGCATTTAAGGTGGATATACCATTATCAAAGAGAGATCTGAATCCATCCGTTGCGTCGTTTGCTCTAATACAAAATACAGCAATCACAGCGAGGAAAGTAATAACAATCTTCCAGATACTTACGAGGCATGCTATTTTCGTCCGACCAGTTTGTAATTCGAATTTCAGCTTTTTCAAGTGATTTAAATTTTTAGGGTTATTTCCGATGGTAATAAAATTTTCCCAATATTTTATAGAAACAAAAAGGCTAGACATAACAAACAAACCAACCATCCAATCAGTTTTTATATACATTGCAACAAATCCAATTCCTGTTATTTGAAGGACCGCTGCGATTACCGGAAATATAACTGAATTTTTTTGGGTTTCATTGCACAATGGAAATCTGGGAGAAACTTGAGTTCCTTGTCTGCTTGCCAGTTTATCAATAACATCTAATACAGACGGTATCACTGCTACTGACATATAAACAACGGAAGCGGAAGCAGGATCGAATACAGGTAATATGACGAATGCTAAGATAGAAAGACCAACAGAATGGATCGTTTCGATAACCAGTGCCTGAAAATAATAATTGTTTTAGTATACAATTCACGTCTATGAATCTTTAGCAAAAGTAATGATTATGATTTCATATATAACAAACAATATTTTTTATTAGAAAATGATTAAATTTTTCATCTCTTAATCGTTTTAAAGAGCATAGTTATGTCCATTTGTTAATGCCAGATCTAGGCCTGGCACCTTTGATAACTATACGCTTGTCGTAATGTTCTATTGTATTTTTTATTTGTGTGTTTCTCTGTCCTGTATGTTCTTCTATTTATTTGAATTGTAGTACTGTCATGAAATGTTGTCATTTTAGTGTTAAATTTAACATTGTCATTAAAGCGGGAGGTTTGGCTAGCCACAAAACCAGGTTTAACCCACCATTTTTTCTTAAAATGTCCTGTACCAAGTCAGGAAAATGGCTATTGTTATCTTATAGTTCGTTTCTGTGTGTGTTGCATTTTAGTGTTTCTGTTGTGTCTTTATCTCCTCTTATATTTAATGTGCTGCCCTCAGTTTTAGTTTGTAACCCGGATTTGTTATTTCTCAATCGATTTATGAATTTCGAACAGCGGTATACTACTGTTGCCTTTATCTACATCAATCAAATATAAGATTTTTTTATAGAATTAATCGTCCGTCAAAAATCTTTTCGATTATGTAATAGGGTAGTTTAAACACGTTTTTGATGTGTAGAACGTTTGATATTTTTCCAGGCGTAGAAATAAACACACGTTTACAGATGTTTGAGAGAAACATCCGTAAAATGAAGTATACGTTTCTATTTCTCCTGTATAATTTATGTAGGCTTGTATAATTTCAGAATTCACTCATTTTGATTGAAACTATTTTAAGAGAATTTGACCGTTCCTCTCTTATTAGATTTTGATTCATGCTAAATACACACAGAAAAATTCCAACTGTCATTTCTTCGTAAGATAATGACAGAGTTTAATAATATGATACTGGGTAGTTTCATTGTAATCCTTATCCTAACCCTGACCTAAAATGCATTTTATATACACGACAAAGCATAATCTACACGACGAGTGCCAGTGTTGATCATAAACTGAGTTCTTATAATTCATATTTTGTGAAGAACCACACTGATTCTATCAGAAAATACACTGAAGATGATATTATCAAAATGTTGGACTTTTTAATCGACAATATATTTGTTGAGTTTGGAGGATTGATATTTCAACAGACAGTCGGTATTCCAATGGGCACTAATTGTGCAACCCTTCTGGCCGACTTGTTTTTGTACTCGTATGAAGCAGAATTCAGTCAGATCCTTCTAAAAGACAAAAAGAAAAAGCACCTTGCAAAATTCTTTAATATTACTTTCAGATATATTAATGATGTCCTATCACTGAATAACCCATATTTCAGTCAGTAGTTGCATCTCATATATCCCAGCGAACTTGAAATTAAGGATACTACTAATCATAGAAGGACTGCTTCCTACCTTGATATTTTCCTCAATATTAACACAGATGGACGACTTCACACTAAAATCTATGACAAACGGGATGATTTCAACTTCCCAATTACCATTTCCCATTTCTCAGCAGTAACATACCCTCTTATATATATGGAATATGGCAGTTGTTATCAAATAGTTCGTTTCTATGTATGTTGGCGTTTGTTTTTGTTGCACTTCAGTGTTTCTGTTGTTCCTTGTTTTCCTCTTATAGTTGATGTGTTTCCCTCGGTTTTAGTTTGTAACCCGGATTTGTTTTCTCTCAATCAATCAATTTATGACTTTTGAACAGCGGTATACTACTGTTGCCTTTATTTATCCTTAAACGCAGAAACATGATACAAAGAAAATTAAATAATGGACTTCTTCTAATACCAAATTGCCTAACAATCTCTTTAAATACGTTAATTTTGAAGAAAAAAAATGCATGCGCTTATTCCCGTTAAGAATTAGCTTAACGATTTTGGATTCGGAAAGAAGTGTCCTGATTTAGCTGATACTGTTCAAATTTATAGGTATCAATTATTTTACAAGTATGTTCAATTTCGTGCTTAATTTGGCCTTTTTAACTTTATTTATTCGAGCGTCACTGATGAGTATTTTATAAACGAAGCGCGCGTCTGGCGTACAAACTTTTAATCCTAGTATCTATGATGAGTTTACTGAAAAAGAAAACAACGACTTTTGCTATCAATTAAACTTACCGCACATAGTATTTTCCAGTTGATTGCCTTATTCGATTTGAAGCATATTCTAAATAACGTCGACAGAAATGTAAGTAAGTAAGGTGCACTAATGACAAGGAATACTGCCCATATCCAGGTTTCGTCAACCTGTGAAGTGTCCAAGTTACAAACTGATGTGTTGTATGTGGAACATGTAGAGCAGTTGGACTTTAACAAACTACCGAGTGTACCAAGTTTGGACATTCCTGACTGTACTGGAGGACTCATGTGCCATATGAGGATATGAAGTGATATTCTCGCTACAAAACCACTGCAGATCACAATGATAAACAAAAATATGGCAAAACAAACTTTTAAAATTTTCTCTGGTGAAGGACATTTCGAATCTTTTAGTTGCTCCTCATATGGATCATTTTCTTTTCCGGAAGATTCAGTGCTACAATTTTAAAATCATAAAATGTTTAAATCTAATACGTTTCTTTGACCGAGTTTAAGCAATGCAATTGCAAAATTTACACTTTAAAATTCACTTAGATGAAACATATCGAGCTATCTAGGAAATTGCAGTTTAAGTAAAAACTTGAATTATTTGGGCCCATATTTTGACATCAGGTATAATTTAAAGGGCATTAACTACGAATTAGAAAAAAACAATTGGGGGAATTCAAACATTTATAAAGCGGAATCTTGAAATAATATTTCACTAGTTAGTTTGCTTCAGTTTCGTCAACATAAGCTTAAAACATCGCTGATGTATTATTGCAAGTCAATAATTTAACTCATTTGAATCCGTATTTATGCAACCGTTAATTTGACCTTTAGTGGAGATGGGTTGCCCATGGGTACTGGCATGAAAATACGGATTTTGTGTTATCAAAATTTGCTGTCACAAAATTTTGGAACTTTTCTAAATTAAGGAAT